CCGAGGCAGCAACTGCAAAAACGCAAGGGAATACTACATCGCGTCCAAGAGTTTGTTAACCTAAGAAGTTGGCGGGCATCCAAATAAGGTGTTCAATAACCGCACTTTCACGAAATGGAGAGAATAACGGAAGTCCAAGTCCTGATTCATTAATTATAATTCTTTCACTTTCAACCTACCACCAAACATCCTCCAAATATACACATTGCACATACAAATAATCTTTAACTGCATACACGCAGAAGACGTAATCAGTTCAATGGCAAGGCATCGATAATTGCTTGTTAAGTATTTGCACCAGCTGGGCAGCAACAACTGCAGTTCCCGTCTATTGGTGGGGACGGAAGCACTAAGGAGAGCACTGAAACAACGAGGGTTCTTGCGGCTACACTCACTGACTTCAGCATAATAAAGTCTTAGTTATTACCGCTTGCCTTTTACCTGAGTTTCGTCATCCAATAAATGATTACTAAACTAGGATGAAAAAGTCGTAAATGACAACCAGAAGAAAAAGACGTTTGAACTTTTATTTCTGGTACTTCATTGTATGATGCAATAAAATTTTTTACACCTTTGACTGGTTAACGTACTCAAAAATGTGATGCTGGAAGTGCTCTTTGCTTTTCATATTACTGTGAAATCATTAAAAACACCAATATTTCTTTCCAGTGGTTTGAAGTTTATTTTTGATGGTCACTGGGAGTTAAGATTCTATCTACAAGTGCCTCTTTTATGTCGGTATTGCTACTAGTCTTCTCAATATGTCTTATAGTTTCAAATTAATGCACTGCTATAAAAGTGATAGCAAAAAATGCTCTCAGCCAAAAAGCAGTACTGACTGTGACATATACCGTTGAGATGAATTTAATAAGGAAGCAAAGCGAAACAGACCGAAAAAGTAATCATAGTAGTAGTACTTTTTCAAAAGAAACTTCAAGTCATTATTCAAAAGGAAGATTTTGACTAGTTACTGGCGACTGAAGTAGAAGAGTTAAACGATTTTTTAACAATTATATGTATAATTGAAATTAATAATGTTTTAGTTGAAACAGGGGGGCCCGTCAGTTGCGAATGCGCCAAAACAGTGCGTTAGCTAAGGATTTCTTGCTGTCTACTGTCACTTATGGAATCGTAACTCCTAATACTAGAAAGACACTATTTTGCATTAATATGTTTTGCAAAACAGTGCCTTCAAAAGATGTGCCTTTTTTAAAGAATTTAAAATATCGTTCTTTAAAGAAAACATTTTGAGTTTCTGTTTCTATTTCAATCTCGTACAACACGTGTTACTGTACATATTTCACCACTCTTCTGATACAGCTTTTCAAATGGGGATAAAACCTATAGAAATCCATCGTGAATGAAAAAAGCTCCAAGTTCTTAGAGGGGAATATGTTCCGCAAAAACTGTATTTTTTTTTACGTATTTCATAACGGTTTTGCTTTCCCGACAGCATGCCCTTTGAGGTAAGCTCCATCGGTTTCAAAATCCGGTATTAAGTGCTACAGATAGGCAATAAATGAAAAAAAAAACCAATAAGACCACTGAAAAAAGTATGCGACTTGACACGGAATGGCCTTAAACCGTACATTACAAATCATATATGATTAATTACATGTCGTAAATTATATGTTACAGGGTATGTATTATGAGTTATATATATATATTATGAGTTATACATTGTAAATTACAGTCTACATAGTCTTGTGTTGTTCCTGAAGGGCAGTTTAGTAGCCGTATATTATTTTCGTTGTTTGTTTTCGATTGGCTTCTTCTATCTTTTGATATTTGATATTCGTTTGTGTATTTGACTTTTAACTGCCCGGTGAATCTTCGTTCCCGGATTTGTTAAAGTTCAAATATTCTCTTTAGAATGAACGCTAGATTAATACAGCGCTTCTGTTACTAAAGACCAAATTCAAAAAATTTGCGGGACAGCAGTTTATTTGAATGTTGCGTTCAAAATTTATTTGTCTGATTTCGTAGCACACCGTGGATTCTTAGTGTTTTTCACTTGTCTTTTTATTCGTTTATTCATATGTAATTATTTGTTTGTTTATTTTTATTTTTACTTCTATTTCTACTTTTACTTTTACTTTTAGTTTTTTGTTTGTGATTTGTGTGTATGGACAAGTGAAGAGTCGGTATTTTGAAGCGTTTGGTGATGTGATTTCGACTGATATTGAATAACGACCAAGTGAGAGGAGGAATTCGCAATGCGTTTCGTTGAGCTGCTAAAGTGAAGTTAGATAAAGAAAAACGATTTGAGAATTCTTCATTCTAATGTAGTTAAGTATGTCTGAACGCTAATGCAGTTAAGTGTGTCACTCCCAAAAATGCTTCTTTTTGTTGCTAATATTACCCTAGTTCTCGTGCACAAAATTCTCAATCATGCCCGATCTATCTGTTATGGACTTGGGTGTGTATACGCACTTGAATTTCTAATGATCTAGTGCTAAAGTGCTATTGTACCCCTTGTGGCGTTTCACAACAGGAACTAGAAAGCTCAAAGCCGGTTTCCACGTATATTTCCTGTTTCACAATTCCCACGTTTTTTAAGCCTCCTCTAGTCAGCCCAGTAATATTTACATAATCTGCACCATTTAAGCTGCATGCACAAATTTTCGTGGTCGATAGGGTAGCCAAAAAAGCTGTTAGACAGAGCTTCGTACTCATATTTTTAGGATGACTTATCTCATTCTTAATACTTCTGTCATCTTGACTTTGTTTCAGGTAGTTGATTAGGAAGTGAAATATTAAAAACAGCTGCTTCCTCGAATTAAGATGGATCGTCAGTTGAGAATATCATCGGTAACTCTTCGTTTAGCATGTGGTTTTAATTTTAATTCAGTCCTCATGATTCTGAATGTGTTTCTCCTTTTCTGTATGGGCATGTTACTCCAACGTTTGTAAATACTAGACAAGAAAGTTCTTTTTTTTTTTATTTAGTATTAACTGCTGTTATACGTATCTGCTGCATTTTTTCTAGCAGGCGTCCTTCAAAAGTAGTATTTGCAGATATTAAAGCCTCATCAGTCTACTCATGTAAGTAGCCAGGAGTATGGTGAAGTTTCGGTGACTACGACAAATCTTGCCAAAAGACGTGTTAGTTTCCATAATATGAGAACAGTCCAGTAAGTATACGCCTGTAAATATAATTATATGTATTTGCTGTGAGGTTGATCCTTATTTTACAAATGATTCAGGGAATTTGATAGAGAACGGAACGATATCACACGTTCACCGCTTAAAGAACCAATCAGGCGTAAGCTAAAATCATTTAAAATTTTAATTTTTTTATTTTACTTGAGTTGTTTAATTGTTGAATTTTCAGTTGGTGATACAGGAAGTTCGGATGGTTTACACTCAACGTGAGTTTGATTCTATATCTAAGGAGAATTCTCTGTTTTAGTATTTTTGAAAGGTCATCTCAATTCAACGTCTTGAGCTGCTAATGTTGCTTTACCTTTTGCAGTCGTATTTCAACCTTTAGTTCAAATTCCGCTGTCGAAAGTGGCACGTCACAAGGTAAACTGGATGACCCAGGTAATAATTCAGCTATTTTGTCTGGGATTTTTTGCTTTTTTAGTAAAACTTTCATTACTTGATGATAAGACTGTTTTTGCATTTGTTTGTTCCTATTTTTTAAAACAGAAAAAACAGCTACACGTGTTTTCCTTGCTTAGGTTTTGATAAAAGTGTACCAGATTTTCGACCAATGAGCGCATCAACCCCAATGCCTCGGGGATTTATAAATGATTACTCTGGCCACATCAACACTATGGTCCTTTTTGGATCGGATGCTTCTTTTGGTAAATTTACATGGGCAGAATTAGCAATAATTTAAGAATTGCTAATAAGGAAGCTAGGAATGTTGCAGATTCTCATGATAAGGGCGGCTCACCAAAAAAACCTTGTGGGAAATACCGTGGTGATGCTGCTGAATTTACGAACGCTTGCAGTAATAATGACACTAAGTGCAGCACAGTGACTGAACCGAATGCAACTCGTCTGTTATTCAGTTCAGCGATAGATGTATGTTGAATGTATTGTTTCAGTCCGATTTTGGGTGTTATAAATTTTGCATTTTGATAGCGACTGCAGGGTTATAAAGAGAACTTCGCAACGTTTGAGGGAGATGTTAGACGAAATGAGAATGTTGGGCGGCAGTGTACGTCTTTTGATCAGGAAGAAGACGAAGCCACTCGACAGCTTTTTGGGCTTCCCGATGAGGTAAGTTTATTGTCAAAAATCAAAACTTGGAACTTTTTCTGCCTTGATTTTGAAAGTAATTAACACCGACAATTTTTGTGCTGCGACCTGAATATGTATTCAATTTTTTATTGCAGATTTATGAGGTTTGAAACAGTTGAAAGGGGAGAAGTATTTTTAATTTTTCTATCTCGAAAGAACAGTTAGTTGGATAATTCAGAATTTTTCACTGAGAGTAGAATCCAAGAAAGATTTACAGAAGCGACTGATGTCAGAAAATTTAAAGATAAAAACTGTTTCCATAGAAGAACAGTGAGTTGAGGCAGGTCAGTAATGACTTTTCAATAGAAGTTTCGTTCTGCAATGCTGTGAAGTGTGGTCTGAAGAAAAAAAAGAATAAAAATAGATAAATATAAAAAAGTACTTGAGTGGGATAAAAGAGGGAACGTTTCTACGTAGGCGGAATCACTATTAAAACGTTTAACTATTGGTCAGGTTGGAGAGTTTAGAGAAGTGGGAGGAAGAGAAGAACGAGGGGTCAGGGAGTTTCAGAAAATATGTTCCAGAATCAGAAAATCACCTTTTTAAAACGGCGAAATAGAAGCTGCGGGTAATATCTCACGTTGTAATCTGGCTGCTGCTTTTATTTCGCTGTTTCCTCTAAGAAAATTATGATTGTATTTTTACGGTAGTTTAAATCTCATTTTTATTTACTGATTCGTCTCCTTCACCACTTGAACTGCCATTCAAAAGGCTGCATAGTGTGAGGGAGGGCCAGATACTAATGTGGCATATCACTTCTGTTCACCAGTAATGGCACTTGTCTTTTATCACGAGGAGGGTTGTTGCCGTTAGAAGTAAAAGTTAGATTTAGGAACTACTGCTAGTTTTCTAAATCATTAAGGAGCTTAAGCTTTTAGAAAGATTGTTTTTGTACCGTTTAAATGTTGCGGAATTCGGGTATCTTTTTTAACATTGTTGATTTTGCACACGTCATTCAGACACTGCGCTATACTCAAGTCTAGTTTTCAGAGCAATTCCTCTGTTTACTTAAAATCGATTCGCATGGGGTTTTTTAGGGGAGAGGGTGAGACATTATTCGTTATCAAAAATCCTTTTTCTGCACACAAGTTTTTGAAATTCTCGTCAGCAATTTTTTGACATCAGTACTTTTTCATGCTTTTTGACCAGAAGCTCTATGTTTCGTTTGTTGAAATGTTGACGGTTTGTAAAGTACGATGAAAGTTCCGCTTTAATGCTTCAGCCTAAAGCCGTTAAACGCAAGCATTATTGTTCTGAGCCTCTAAAAAACTTTTATCAGACTGATGAGTATTTTTTGATAATGTTTTAAGTGTAATATTCTAATTTATTGTTGTTGCTCTAGGTTCCCACTGAAAATGACTCTGCAGCAAAGGTAATTCATGGTGCTGTAGTCGATGAAATGGAGCTCACTGATAGTCTTTTCAAAGCATTAACAAATTCTTCTAAACAAGCGGAGGAGGATGCTCAATTAGCTTTGACAAGCGGTAACTTTATTTCGTTGCTCTTGACTTCTTAGAAGATTATTTTGCAGCATATTACGTATTTTATCGCTTAGACCTTTTAGTTGAACTTCAGCGAGAGACTACTCTTACCGAATGTGTTCCTGCAAAAAGGGATGGGACTTTCGTTATCGACGGCGAAGAGAAGAATGAAACAGTGGTTCTTAATGAAGATGAGGAAAAGCTTAAAACAGTTGCTGTTGAAGAAGAGGTACTGCACAAATTTAATTTTAGTGTCTGCTGCATACTTAGCTTTGTTTTAAGATAAGGACGAAATTTTGGAGGTTGAAATCCTATTGGTTGTAGGTTTTAAGAAGTCTAGTTTTTATTATTTTGCTCCTGATTTCTGGCAGTTTTTTTCAGGCGAACAATTCTGCCATTATGAAAGAAGTGTTTTCGCAAGACGGCACAATTAGAGAAGACCAGAAGGTAAGTGCTGCGTTGGGGTTTAATCTTCTAGCGGTATTTTGCAAAGATGTGATGGTGGAAAAATTGACGTGAAGGAGTAGTTAAGAAGTTTGTTTTACTGTTTTTTCTAACTCGGCTGGTTTTTATCGTAGCAGTTTTTGGAAAAGATTTATAGTTTATTGTTCTTTGTCAGAAAAGTCCTATGCTTGTTATTTTAAAATTGCAGGGTCAAAATAGCGAATTATCTCATCTTGCGCTTTTACATTCTGCTAGATTTGTTGATTCTCCATTGGCAGTTTTGAAAAAAAAGGCTCGCTTAGAAAGTCCTTTGAGGCAAAATGATCAGAAGATGGACCATCTAAGTGGCGAAAGTTTAGACCCTTCACGGCTCTTTCAGCGCTCATTATTAGTTAGTAGTTAAACATCTCAAAAGAACTTTTAGAGATTTTTGAATCTGCTTTCCTTTCCAAGAGTTCTTTTCTACGTTACATTATTCACGTTTTCTTTAGAGTTCAAAGTTACAAGGCATCTCAAAAAATGATACCATGAACGTGATTAGCAGAAATTCCTCCCAGCTTTCACCAGCGTTACAGGTAAATTAAGTAGTTTTGAGTTAGCACTTTCGAATAGGCTGTAGACGGCAACTTCTGATTTTTAGGCTATTGCAAAAACAAAACGCTATATTCGGCAAAGCTTAGACCAGTCAATGAGTCGCTCGGTCGCTTTTTCTTCCCCTATGGTTATGTTGCAAGACATTATGCGTCCTAAGGACTCTATTTCTTCATTATGTGATGATCAAGAATCTGGATTGATTTCATTAACTAATGATCAGTCTCGTACGTCCAACAGCTGTTTCCTGTGCTATTAAATCTTCATTCTTCTCTTTTTTCCATTATTTGCGTCGTGTTTATTTCTTACTTTTAAGCTTTTCGATTCCCATCTATGCTTCGTAGCTTTGCTGGTGAAAGGATGCCGGAAAAGACTTACATCATGTCCTTCGACGAAACTTTTCCTGAAGCGCCTACGACAAGCAATGAATCTTGCCCACTGACTTGCCGGTTCGACTCCGCTGACTTCGATATTAGGATTGCAAACGTGCCTTGCTTTCAGAGTAAAACTGATGATCATTCTATCATTTCTCGTCTAAGAGACGTAGCTAGGCGGAATATCTGTAGAGAACTCAGTGAACTGAATGCTGAGTAAGTCTTATTCAAATTTTATTATTATTTAATGCCTCTGTTATAAGCTTTATTTATAGAAAAACCTATGTAAGATGTATTTCAGAACTGAGAGGAAAGTAGAAGGTGATCTTAAACAAATGGCTAGCAACAACCCGCGAATAGCTACCGCAATAAAGTTGCTGAACCCAAGAAAGGTTTTTTCATTCTTTTCAGAAAACTAGTATAAACATCTATTCTTTTTATTGATTAGGGATTCAGAAATGGAATAGACCAAAGTTTTTCTCGAATAACAGCTTTTTTATCTTTAATTGGGCATTTTTTGAAAAAATTGTAGCTTTCACGTGAAGAAGCTCGGGCTTTTGAAATTTGCCGTCTTAAAGCCCAGAAAACGTGGTACAATTTGCGTAAGGAAGTTGCGGCCGTAACTATTAATAAAACTAAGGTGGGATTTTCAAGTACTATTGTAGCACTTTCTCTCGTTTTTATTTTTAGTCTTATACTCAATATCTTTTTGGAAGGGATTATTATATTTTTATGTTTTACTATTAGTTGAACCGTAAGATGCTTTAGGAACTCATAAACCAAAGAAGAGAGGAATATGAATCGCGTTTGGAAGAGCTAATAATATTAGAAAAATTTAGAACTATAGTTGATTCTGGTTTGTTACTTTCTAGCTATCATACTGTTTTTAAAATGGTCGTGTTGTTATTTTTAATGTTTTAGGAGGGGAGGGGAGAGGTGAAGTATGAGTTTCACAGTTTCTCTGTAATTCATAGTGATGCGCATGCCTTCACATTTCCGAGACTTTGCTGTTGTATTTCTGTATTTTAATCTTCTTTTTAGTCTGCTGTAACTGTGCTCAAAATTTGCATTTCAGTGGACTTCCTTGCTTTGTTACTTGAGTTTCAGAGAGGTGCTATGTAAGAAATGCGCTGGAGCGTTTGCGAAGCATTGAGCAACTCGCTGTAACAGGGTTTGAAAAAAACAAAATTGAATTGGAGTCATTGTTTTTGTCAGTGCAAGAGAAGGAGCTTGAAAACATAAGGCTTGAAACAGAAATTACAGAATTGGAGACAAAAGTAAGTAGACTTGGGATCCCATAATAATGCAAACTAGTGTTCGTTACGTGTTGGCCTTTTCATTCTCAAATTACCGCTGAAGAGTTCCCTACTGACACGGAATGTTTTTTTGCGAGAAGAATCCCAACTCTTTATAATTTTTCCAGAAAGATCTCAATTTAAATCTTTACTGCAATTAAATTTTGAATGTTACAATTCTAGATTCTGAAGAAGGAAGCCGATTCTATACAGTTAGAGAAAGATAAACAAGGAGGCTTGGTATCTTCTATTGACGAGGAGTGTCAAAGGATAAAAAATTTTTATTTGGAGCTCATACAGAGCAATGAAAACTCAGTTCTTTAATTTGTTGATGACTGTACTTCCTCAAATGTCAGGACCTGAAAAGTTCCTGAAGCTTTTAGTCGGTTCATAGTGTCTTTTGTAAACGTGCATTTGGTCAGTTTCCCACTTGATAACTTGTAGTTTGGAGCAAGGCACTCAAAGTTGGCTCTTATGCTGTCAAAAAAATGTGATTGAGAGTGTCTATGCCTGAAGTTTTTTTCTGGGGATTCTGTTAGTTAAGATGAGTGAATGCTCCACTGCCGGAAGTTGTGGTTGCAATTGTAAGCAGACAGATACTCAAAAAAAAAAAACGCAGGCCGTTGTTTTTATTTCTTAATGATATAAAGGCCATCTTAAAGTTCGTTGACAATGTCATTTAAAATTGAGCACAATCGTTTTGTAAAATATGAGGTTAATAAAGCGGCAAAACACAGTCAGAGCCATGCTGAGGAATGAAATATATATGATTTGCAATTGTTGGTAAGGCAGCGTGTTGGGTACAAGGGGTAACAACTGGGCGGTTAGTCAGTTTCTGCGAGTCTTCTAAAGTAACTGAGAAAAAATTGATTTATTTCACGAGTCGTGAAGTTTCTGGCTAGGCATCAGAATTTGGTAAAAAGGGTACTTTGTGTGGTTTCGTAGCCGTACTTTATGAACGAATCTTGAGTCGGGATTAAACTGCTGAGGATGGTTGCAAGCTGTTTGTGGTTGTTTGTTTGCCGGATATCGAGACCTCTGTATGACGTTCTAGCCATCCCAGTTAGAGGGAGTTTTTTAAGGAGAGAGCGGATATAATTATTTTCGCAAATATCCTAAAAAGAGCGGCTCGCCCTTGTTGCTTGGATGCGACACAATTTATTTTATACGATGCGAGGGCATTGTGGTTGCAGTGACGGAGGGATGCATAAGTATCGTAAAAGGATTGATGACGATCAGCCGACCACTTAAGATGAAAGGGAGGGCCGCTAGATTGGTGTTTATTCCACGCAACAGTCTGTTTCCTGGTGGTTGGGATAGGTTTAGCATACTGTGTCCAACTTGTTTCTTAATCCCTATCGTCCTGACACAGCGTACACGAAGACACAGAAGTAGTTTTACGCCGTGAACATTAAACATTTTTGAATTTTTTTTTCTGAGAGGTGTTGTGAACTACCGTTTTTTGGGGTTACATCCGCTAATTTTTCAAGAAGAAGCTTGACAACTTTTGTTGGTCGTAGTTGGCCAAGAGGTGGAGTAAGTCGTCGGTCTCAGACTTTCCATTTCGCGCACACATACTTTCGTTATCTAAACGTCGACGTTTTTTTTTCGTTAAAAATTAGTTTAAAAGGTCTTTAAAGTTGTACTTGCGAATTCTGCAGAAGAACTAGGATTTGCTTTTTGTTTTGGGTACGTAACTGTATTTCGTTTCTGTATGATGGTGTTGGGTGCGATTGACAGCAAAGTGGTTTTGAGTAAATGTGAAAGGTAGTCTAGAAAGTAATGGCCTACCAACGTAAAGGTCTACGATAATTCCGGTGATTCTGCTTAGGATTGGCTCTTTTTTAACCGATTCTTCATGCAACTTATCGTGGTCGTCAAGAATTTTTTGCAGATCGTCCGTGATGTATGAAAGGCAAGTGCCGTTATCAACGAGTTCCTGTAAACGTGACCCAGGTCACTTTCGTACGTAAACTATTTTATAAATTGTTATTAGCGACTGATTTTCATCTAGGTTGTTTGGATATTGAAACGTCACAGACCTTTAGTGCAAGTGAAAGCTCTAAATTTCTTGATAAGTTGGTCAACTCTTGTAGCACTGGGTGGTAAAGGCTTAGCACATGCGGAATTGTCTCTTCATTTTTGTCTGAAACGTTTCACTTTATACGTAATTGTTTATGCATTTAAGTTTGGTTAGGAAAATTGCATCAGTGTGCTCATCTATAGCTATGTCAATTAACTGAAGAGACCTACTACATTGCAGATTTACTTTAATCTGTTGCTTCGTTATTTCCTTGCTTAGAACGTCTCGAATGATTGCAATTGTTGATATACTGTCGCTGCGGAATGTCGCGAAACCTCGCCTGAAGCTATTAGTTAAGATAGCTGAAGTTACTAGAACGGTTTATAGTACAAGCTGAAGTAAATTCAGTGTTTGCTTGACATCCTGTTAAATTTAGTGTATACCCATAGGACGCTTGTAGTTGTGTAAGCCCTTCATAGAAAGCAGCGTAATTTAGAGTTACTGTTTCATTGAATGGAACTCGTTGTGGAACTTCGTTCAATAACAAATTTATCCACTGATGTGCCTCTGTTACAGAAAAGTTGCCAGTAATTTTCATTTCGTTGAATGGCCTTTTTTCATCAAAATCGTGAACTCTGTGATGCAGTGATAGCGGTTTTACTTGATAGGAACATACCTGTAAATCTAATGGCACTTTTGAACGCCAGTTTCTGTTACTTTGTTTACTTGAGCAGTTAGATGAATATGGTCTGCTTTATTAGCACTTTTTTCCTCTTTTCTGGGACCTGGCCACCCAAAAGTCATCTGGCTTTTAACATCCAGAGACAGTGATAAGAATGTGTTTAATTGTAATGTTTAAATTCAATAGAAAAGATTTAAAGAAGAGTATGAACAAATTTAGAAATTACCTGGCAAACTTTTGGTTCTATCTTTGGACAAACGTAAGCTTTTATAGTACCATATCGACCTTCTGCAGCTTTCAGCTTGATTTCCATTCGTGTCGTGTTCATCTGGCAGCGAAATGTTGCAAGCATTGCATTTCCTGACTTGAAAGTAAGAGTTTTTAAGAAGTTTTATAGGGAAAAGGTTTTAGAAACTGAATACCGATTTATCGGGAACTGTCTGCGAAACGACGGCAGAACCTTTATCTACGTCATCCAATTCCACGTAAACGTCACTCTAAACTATTCTAACTCTATTATATGACAGTGCCGAAAATTGCGAATAAACACTGATTAGAAACTATGAAATGGAGTTGTAAATGAAGTAAGCTGTAAAACTTCTGGACCGAAAGCTCATGCTAAAACTAAGTAGAGTCGCAATCAGCATATGAATGTACCTGAAGAAGAACATAGTCGACTGGTATTAGCAGTTCAAGAGACAAAACGTAACAACCATTTTGCTTGTCTAGAACAAAATGATCTTGGACAGAAAAGGTTGGGACCACAGAAACGCTGTCACTTCCCCGAGCTTTAACTTCCAGCAGAAACTTTTTACGTTCATCGTCCACTCGCTCTTTCAGATCTTCTAGTTCATTTCTTTAAGAGCAGAGTGATAAAAGAAAGTTGTAAACAGATAAGATTACTTTGAAATTATGTTTTTTGACATGATTCTTAATAGGCAATAATGTAAATTTTATACATAAGCTAATAAAATATGTTGGAGTTTTTCAAATAAAAAAATTTGAGACGAGTAGAACTTACTTCAACTGTTGAACTTTTAACTGCATTCTTGGTGACTCGATAACGCTTACTTTCTTTAGAGCGGGAGCAGTCGTAAGGGCAAATATACTTCCAGCGTGAGTGCAGACAACAATTTCGTCGAAACTTGATGATACTCTTCCACACTGAAGACTCAGTATTCCTTCCCCGCATTGCTGCAAAGTCGTTAGCAAGACTCACCAATGTGGCTAACAAAAAAGCAAATTTTAATAATATTTCCCGTGACTTACAAAGTTTTTTTTAAACTTAGCATTTTCATTATCATCTACTGTGTAAATTTCGATACATCCATCTTCTTTGCCAATTATCAAGTCGTTATTGTCATTGCCAGTCATCGCATAACAGTGTATAGTTGAAATCGCTATAAAATTCCGTTTAACTCTCTTTATGCTGTCTTACTTACGACTTCTAAACCATGTCAGTCACCGTATAGTTAAAGTTTTCGTTTCAGCCAAGTCAAAAATACGACTAATATAATTAAAATAGAAAAAAAATTTTTTTTTAATTCAAAACACTTAACTGTGCTTAAAATTCACTAAATAAAAACGCTATCTTGAAGAGACCTGCGGGTGTTTGCGTCAAAAGTTCCCACAAGACAGAACCGCTTTCACGATCAAGATTAACCAACCCAAGCTGACCACCTTTACATCCATAAATCACTTGTTGCTTCTTGGCTCCTGAAAAGGTAAGATTTCACTTTTAGCACCTTAACACTATATTATTAAAAACAGAATCAGCTAGGCATTTAACTACAGTGTAATCCTTATATTCGCGGAGAACAGAAAGCAGATACCTTTGCTAAAAATTATTGAATTATTTTTTCAAAGTGCTTCGTTTTTAATATTTCCGCTCAAATTAATTCTTTCAAAAAATTCTTTACTGGCATTGCTTGAACTCAGTGTTTTCCCCTTTCACATTATGAGTCGAAGTGGAATTAAAATTTCAGTAAAGCAAATTTTACGAGAAGTAGAAATACTTATTCTTTAAAAAACCGCTATTGTTGCCCAGCAGCCACGCAATTCTATTCAATAATATTAGCTGTTTATGGTGTCATACTAACCTCCGTCGTTCATAAACAGGTGTAATACATTGGGCTGATCTCCAACATAGACTTCGTAATTAAGCTGAGAACCGTTCAGGACCTGAACATCGGGAGGAAAGAAAGAAGGTACTTTGGTCAAACATATATTACGCGAACGATTCATTCTATTATTATTTTAACTTTAAGAAATGCCTTGCTAACTCCTGACTTTAATCGTCTTGTCGTCACATGCTAACACAGGGGTGATCCCCCTACCAAACCAGGACCCTTCAATTATTGGTAAGCAGAGAACGTCGTTAATTTTTTCTTCGCACAAATAATTCTAGAAAGAAGCTTAAAGTGCTGGTTATTCTGTAATTTAACAGCAACATTAACTTTACAAATTGTCAGAACTTTTTGAGACTCAAACGAAAAAAAGATTTTTGCAACAAAAAGCTGAAAATATAATTTCAACGTTTCAAATACTCGAAGTTAACTAAACAAGTGGATTCTGTGTGACAATTACCGAAACTTCATTGTCGTTATGGAAGTGAGTGAAGCAGTAAGTACCACAAAGCATAAGATCCACTCCATAAACATACCTGAAAAAAATTTCTTTCAGCCCTTTCATATTTAAGCTACCAAAAATTTCAGGAAGGTTCAAAAGTTTTGTGGTGTATACAGATTAAGGTCTCTTCAGACACTAACATCGACTGAATGGGTTCAGCTATGGCAGTTTCAAAAGAAAAGAACTGTTTTCCTTTTTTCGAAAAACCTTTAATGTAATTTTCTGTTGCAACATAGATTTTATCTTGCATCGTATCCAAAGCACCACCCATTCGAAGGCAGTTAATTTTTTTCCCAGCTGAAGTTTTAAATGTCACCTGTAAAAGCTATTTTAGCATTTGTGAAAATGTTGAATATTAACAAAAAAAACTTTTTTCATTTGTTTTAGAGAATACAGTAAAAACATTAAACCTTCTAAAAGTTTTAAGAGGCAAGAACATTTGATGCCTTTGTTTATTCAAGACTAAATTTTTCTTCAGCAGCCTTATTTAGTTTTTTTAAGCAGGTACTAAGAAACCACTAGAAGGCAATGAAAAATTAGTAAAAATACTATCGCTGTTTCTTACTTAACAGCCAAAAACAAACCCTGGTTTCATTTTCAGTTCTTTCAAAACACTGAAGTACTCCGTTATTAGATCCGGTAACTATCTAAATAAAAATTATTTTAGCTTTACAATTATTAGTGTGTTTTCTTGTCATTCTTACCTTCCCAAAATTTGCCCCCACAATATTTTATTATCTTTACAAAAAGTACTTCAAGTCATTTAGCACAGCTTTAAAGCTAGCACGACATTGATACACTTCGATCAATGTGCTTTTAGCCAAGAATTTTTTTTATAGCATCTCACGTAAAAACAAATAGGAAAAAGTATATTGTCTGCGTCCCTGTTATCTTATGTGCAAGTTTTTGAGCTATTTCAGTTTAGTGGCCTCAGTTTTTTCAGCCACCAAAGCCAGTGAATATTATTTGTAATAAATGTGGCTCTGTTTCATTACAACCAGTAAAAGCACTGGGGCCACCAAAGTGAAGCAGGGCCCAGAACTCCCTCTTCACAACAACAATTTGTTTCAAAAAATTTACAAACGAAGCAAAATCTGTGTTTAGAACAACGCCTATCTAAAAATGAAAATATTTCATATTCAACCTCTTTTCGGTTATCACTGTATCTTGGTACACAATTCAGAATAAGTGGTTAACAGCAGCAAGAGAAAGGCAAGAGGAAGGCGGCAGAAAAGCACAAATGGAATCCATTTAATTTTAAATTATGTTTAAAGAAACTAACTTTGTTAAATGCAAGAAAACTTTTCTTTTTCTTGGCGTCAAACGGGATCAGCCTCATACAACCTTTACTGGTCGCTCCAACTTGCGCGTAATCGACTCGAATGAGATTTATATCCATCACATTACCTGTAAATGCTGCAAACAATTTAAACACCCCAAAACCGCGCTTCATGTTCGAGTGACATTAGGTAAACCGCGATACTACTGTTCCTGGTCTCACGCTCGCTGCAACAAATTTAATGCTCTTTTAGTTAACGGTTATTTCCTCATTCAATGCCTTTTGCAGGAAAATGGTCTTACCCGGTGAATTCAGTCCTTCAACAATTAAATTTCCTTGGCTTTACCTATCGCAGAAAAAAGAACTACTTGAAAACAGCCTTATTCAGTAACTATAAACGACGCATTTTTAAAATAAAGACTGTTATCCACGCCCGATGACAAACGTTTGTTGCTAAGCAACTGGAAATGCTTGGCAATTTCAGCAGTATAGCACTCATGCGAAATTTCGCTTACCCCGGCTTTTCAACTATGTACTTATCCGACACGCACAATCGCGACCCAAGTAAGCAAAAAATTAAAAAATCTAAGAAAAAGACATTGTTTTGAAAAGACATCTCAGGACTTTCAAAGCGATGTTCAAGTTTCTTGGTCTGCAGCAGAAAAACTTAAAATTAATAGCTAATTGTTAAACTACGATTTGTAACCAAATCGCGTACTGTATTTGAACAAATTTTGTCATTACTGAACTATTGAGCAGAAGAGCTGAAAACCCCAACGTTTATGTGAACAATGCGATGTTAAGTTTTGAAAGAAAGAAGGCTACGAAGCACCAGAATTTATCTTTCTAGCCATTTTTGAAGCCTATCCGTTTTTGAAGAAATTAAAGCGTTTCCCGTAAACTTCTCGTAAATTTATTTATTTTAAGCCGCTACATATACATTCAGCAAGTTTTATCTTCGTAAAGCTTCTTCAAATTACCCAAAGCAGAGGATGTTGCAGTGCAGAACGGTTGTTACGAGTCTGTACAGCAACAGATTTCCCATCTGTCGCACAGTTTATCAGGCTTGAAAACGTATCAGGCTTTCAGATGTTGAAGACATAAAAAATCTGATAAACTACAAATTATTAAATTTTACTGACGTTGATTGAGTTACAAGTCTGAAAACGTGGAAATATCAAGTAAGAACTTGCCAACTTTTGCGGCTTTTAGTCAAACAACTTCAAACCCACCTCCTCTAATTCTCTTCCCAGTTCTTCAAACTCAACTTCGAACCTTACTAATCAATAAAATTCAAAAAGTTTTAAAATATCAATTGAAAATAGTGTGCGAACTGGTGTGGAATATCGTGTGTAGTATTATTCACACGTATATGTGTGATGCAATGTGATAAAATATCTATATATACAGTGACGTCCATAATTTTGGCACCGATTGGGAAGGAATTCTTTCAGTCTAAACCCTTGTAGAAAGCACCTTCTTCATTCTCTTCTTTTTTACGCTTCTTGCCAAATTTAGATCAGTTTTAGAACCACATTCTTACAAATTATCTAAATTAAAAATACTATTTTATAAATATATAAAATTGCTGTGAGCCGACGTTAAATACGAAAGCAGCAAGAAGTAAAATTTCGATAATGATTGAAAAATTTAGATATTCATATGAAAGATAACGAAAATGATGGTGAGGAAAATACAATACGGTAAAAACTAATCAGTACTTTGTTGGGCACTTTTTTTTTGCATGAATACATTTCTTCAACCTGTTCAACACCAAAATTACCAACCTCCTACTTTTTTTGGCGCTTTGCTGCAGTCTTCCCCAATAACTATTACAGATTCTTAAATACCCTACTGATTCCGTCTTTTGTCTCCGATAAAAGTTTAAAATTCAATTTGGCTCAATGCCACTGTGTATTAAAAAACCAGCCGGGTGTTATCCGACTTACTTCCATAAAACTGTCATTAACTTTTGTTTGAGTTGTGTGCATGATGTATTGTTAATGTCATTCTGTTTCCAGATCTTTGGCTTTCCTACACTCCAAATTTCTCGCTGTTTGGCCCACTTTCTGTCGAGATATTGCCGGATACGTCGGATGGCTTTTGTTTTTAAATGCTACTTTGTAACTTATTAGTTGTTGTAACCTTGTTTCTATACATGGAAAC